CTATAAGTACCATTTTAAAAAAAATTATGGAGCAACCTACGTATAAGATGTCAATGACCTCATTTAGTGCCATCTATGGTCATGAATTTGAACTTTGACCCTTTTCTTGAAAGGACCATATTTTGAAGACAGGTGGACCGATTTTCAAACTTTTATATTTTTTCTTGATCTATGGCCCAAGGGCTTTCCAACCATACATCAATCGCGGCTGAAGGCCTTTTGGGTCTGGATTTCGTATATTTCGTGTATATATAGCGAGTTCGACTTTTCAACACACTAATGTGGTTTCGTCACTCGCGCGAACTGCCGTCCGCTGTGATTACATTATTTTTTTAATTTAACATTTCAATCTTTTTTCTATTCGTTTAGATGATTGGAATCCCTATTGATGGAGATCACATCCAGACGAAGTTGAGATGGAGATCACATCCAAACAGTTCACAATGTCCTACAAAAAGAAATCACATACAAATTTGTTATAACAATGAGTATTAGCCAAGCATTCCCAAAGAGATACATCAATACAAAACATAGAATGATGCTTGCATCATTTGATGCGCATCGCTAGTTCAATGTCGCATGAAATGCTCCGAACGCACAAGCGATGCGAATCAAATAATGCAAGCATCATTCGGTATTGTGTTTTGATGTATCTCTTTGTGAATGCTTGTTTTTAACACAATATAGTATTACATGCATGAAATAGTTTTCAGTATTGCCACATATGGGAAACCGTCTTCATAGTCGTTGGGCATGTGTGAATCTTCTGTGAAATCCATGACGTTTTCGTCACGAATATTGTCTGGGAGCTAAACAACGTTGTGGTCCGCATCGTATACCGCGTTTTGTCGCCATCTTTTTCGAAAACATTTCATCTTAAACACAAAACCAACAGCTTGATTTGGATTCACAATCATTGCTTCTCGCACATCTCGTCGTTCCGATAGTAGCTCCCGCTTGCTCTTCATGGTTACAATTTTCGTCGGTAGCTTCATTCCGTCTGGCCAATCATCGTCATCTGGCATACATCATTCACACATCTTGAAATGATAATAATAATAATAATAACTGCACCGAACAGCGTTCCTTCGCCTTGGTGGTTTATTCAAAATAATTTAAATAAATACAATATGATTAAATTCTTGCATCAAGCAGTTTTGAAAGAGATAAATAATAATTTTTATAAAAAGATTTCATTTATGTTTACAATTCATCTATTTTCTTTCAAATATTTCTCAATTCTTAGCTTTACCGTCGATAAATTTACTTCTAAATCAATCAAATTAGTATCACAATTTGGTATTTTCTTTGTATAATAATCATTGAATGTAATAAGCTTATAATTAATTGGTTCATATTTTGTGTAATCACTTCCTCTAACTGGAATATTAAAAAGCGGTATTGCACGGGTATTATGCGCTGAATCATAATAATTTAAACTGTTTGATATATGAGTTGACTTCATATCTCCATTAATAATTTTGAAGATGAAAGACACTTGCGCCATCTTGCGTCTTTCCTCCAGCGTAATCATTTGTAGAAACAGCAGTCTATGCTCATATTTTGGAAGTCTATAGCTATCCCAGTTCATTCTCCTTAGCGCATAAAGTAAAAATTGTTTTTGTATTGGCTCTATTCTTTTGCACATATTGTCGTAGTGTGGATTCCATATTTCCGATCCATATTCGATGATTGGTAATACAAATGTAAAATAAAGGCGTCCATGGATCGACGAAATCCTTGCCGTAGAACTTTAACCAAGCCAGTCTTGATTTGGCTTTAGCCGTGACATGCTCAATGTGTGATTTGAAATTCATTTGCACATCAAGCAACACTCCCAAGTCCCTTATTATAAAGACTCTTTCAATTTGAACGCCGCCTATGTTGTATTTGTATTCATATTGCAGTGATCCCCGATGATATGATATGATCTTTGTTTTGTTTTATGGGTCATAACATGGACATCCAAAATACGCAAGTACAAACTTCTCTGTACAAATTAACATCACCAATTACAACAGATTACATATTCAATATGTGGGCGCCTACTTTCATCGGATCTATAATTTTTATTTGAATTTAAATCTATTTCAATATAAATACCATTACTTAATATTGTCATCAATGTAACCATAATTATTTTTCTATTTTTCTCTTTTCAAATTTGTATCATAATTTTAAATATCAACTAATTTTTCTAATTGTAGTAAACATATGACACAATTTTTGTACAGATTTCAGATTTATAGCTCGCCTGATGATGGAAACATTGTTTCCGAAAACGTTAGCATTTTATAAATAAAATCACGTTAAATTTGTATCAGAATAAAAAGTTTTCTTCACTTATTTTTTAATATTTCGATTGTCTGGACATCTTATGTTCTTCTTTATCTTTATCGCCGAGTTCGGCGATATTTGTGCCGCTCCCATGAAAATGATGCATGGTTTGCGATTTGTCTATTGTGAAACAAGGATCAATTTAATTCAATTTTTAATCACATATATACTATGTTCTTACCAGCATGGCAGCAAACTTATCGCATACACGATTTGATTCAATGTATTTATCGAATTGTAGCCGGGTATACTTTTCGGTCGTGTACACTGCAATGGCTCTCTTCATAATTGTCAGACGATGAGTTATGTAATTTTTCCAGTTTTCTGCCTTTGGAGTCGGCATTCGTAACGAGTTCGGTTATTTCGATCATTCTGTTCAAATACCTTTGAGTTTCGCACTCCCTGTTTGGTAGTAGTGGTATTTTTTGCTATTTATTTTAAAATTCATCTTTAAGCGAAAAAAGAACAACATATTCGATAGAATAAATTACACGATAAAAATAGAATGCCTTTACCAGAGTCGGACCGTAGCATTCCAGGTTTTCATTCCTGATTCGATTCCCAATATGTACATGAAATGTCCATCATAATAATTTTTTGGAATCAGTTAATTGTTTTTTAATTGTAATATAGGAATTTGTGATTTACAGGGATGGTGTTCGACAAGTAACCATAGTGAACCTTGTCGACGTCTAAAACCTAATTTTTATCAAAAACTCGTAACCACCTAACAGGGAATGTATGCCATACAAGGGATCATACATGGGCACAGGGGGGTGTAAGCCCAAATAACCCCCCCTCTTAAATCGTCCGCGCTAACCCCCCCTCCCCCGACGGCAGCACAGAAATCTTTCGATTTGCTAGGGATTTTTCACTGGAAATTGAAGACCTGTTTTTTTTTTTGCTAATCAACTTCAGAAATGGAAAAAAATCTTTAAAATTGCTAGGGTTTTTCGCGAAAAATTCTTTCAATTTGCTAGAGATTTCCGTCAAAAATGTGATCTCCAAAAAAAAAAAA